ACAGATCCATCCCAGAGACAAAATGGTGTGAACCTGTGCCTTCAGCAGGACTGGCACGGAGAGAAGATTTTGTTTGTCGTGCAGGACAAAGTACAGCCACCCACCAGCAGCCTACAACAATATTGCCAAGGCAGAGCAAAGGCAAGCAGGAGGAAAGCTGCATTTCCCTTCTCTATCTGCCACAGAGTTCCACCAGAACAGTACAAAACCTCTTCAGATACATATTCAGCGTGTTTCCTGGCTTTGCTTTGGCCAGTTTTAAGTCTTTTATGCTTCAAACTAATCTGTGACAATATTAATACAAGCACCACTGCCTACTCCCATTTTGCACATCATCCACACTAAACAATGTGCATTAGATGCAGGAGAAATAGCCAGGTTTCCAAAGCTGCAATTTTCTCAGCCTATAGAAATACATACAATTATAGATGCACTATATACATTATACTTTGTACTGAGCATTACACCACTGAAGAGGAGCTTGAATTTTTTGCTGGTAGATACAATAATTTTAAATATCTGGCTACTGTATTGAACAAGTGTGTGAATTACTGTCTGTAAAAGTTTCATGTTCTAGGAAAAGCTGCCAAAAAAGGAGCTGCAATGCTACACTTTTGACTCCAAAGCAGGGCCTGAACCTTTGTACTCTTTCCCTCAGTCTCCTCAGGATGCTGAACTGCAGCCTAGTTTTAACATTGTACCCCGTGGCTACATGGGCTTGTTCTTTCTGTGACACTTTACGAAATATTTGTCTGAACCACAACAACAACACTTTGCCCTACACCACTGTTGTAATCACATTTAGACATAGGCTTATGGTTTCTCTGATAAAAACAGTTTTTTAGAAAGCCATATTAACAACTCTTTCTGCTCTTGCTAATCCTTAAAGATAACCTACCAAACAAGCAAAAATCTCCAAGGTTATACTCTGCATACAGAGGTGTATTCTCACTTATTTCAGAGATTTCTGTTCTTTGTAAGAAGTTTGGTGTAACACCTTCAGCCTCTGAATGCTGGTGTTCAAATTTTCACAGCAAAGTTAACTTGGTCTTGTTGGTTTGGTTGTAAATTGATACAAGCATATATATGCACACAGAACAGGTTTAGAAAAGCAAAGACTGAACTGTGAGGGCAACACACAGGAAACAGGGGCTGTGAAACCCTGACTTCAATGTTTTCTAATTTAAAACGTAGTTTTGAATAGAACTCCTTCAAATGAGCAGTCAAACTTGTGCAGTCAGCCTGCAGAGCTCCCTGCCAGAGGCTTGCATTAGTACAAGGACACTCAGGGCTTCCACGGGCAGGGAAGCAGCTGCCAGCAATGACAACTCAGTGCTGATGGTGCAGCAAAATGCTTTTGTTTCCACAAAGTGCTACTTTTATGCCTCTTTCTATATATCCAGGGTCACATGCAAAGAAATGTGGGAGAAAACCTGTCCATGATTAACTTCAAAGGGTCCCATGAAATTCATTTCTTCCTCTACTGTATTTTCTTCTGCAAGCAGACATTTGCAAAGAAGGAAATGCCCATATTTCTTAATGAAGTAGTCTGTAAGAAGTTAATATCCTCAGCACATCAGCCAGGAAAAAAATCATACACTGCATTCACAGAAAATTTTTTAGGATCTAAAGCAGACACAATGTTAATTTGGTTACATACAACTTGAAAATGATTGCTCTAAGTTTTATTTATATTAGTTGGTTAGATCACTTAAGACAGATCTGCACTTTTTGAGTAGAGGGAATAAAAGATGTAATTGTCTCTAGCAGCATTATTTGACTTCATCTGTAGGCCATCATCAACCTACCATCTGTAGCCACAGCAACCCTACACTATTAATTTCTTATAACATACTATGACTTCTTTTGGACAGTAATGATTCTAGAAAAAAAATCCATGTGAAAAACTGGTGACTAAACTCAGCTGTCTATAAACAATATTGGACTGTGGCATCAGCTTGCAATATTTCAAAATTTAACTCTGTTCTGCAGCATTTTGTTCTGCAGCCAACACCTTCCACCACATTAATGTGATGCCTTGAAAGTGCAATGGCAATGCCTTTCTAGCCCCATTATTCCCTCTGCTACAGCAGCCACTCCCTGATTCTTACATGATTCTGCCTTCCTAAAAAGACACAGGCCTGTTCTCAGTGTCAAGGGTAAAGCACCAACTGCTTAACTTTCCCTTGGAACACTAGAACCAGTTCTTGCCATCTGCATGGCAAAATGATCTATTTGGTTGGTGAGAAATCGGAGAAACTCCAGTTTTACACTGGCTTTCACGAGAAGAGAATTTGATCTATAAAGCAATTTGCTGAGACCTGCTGCATGAGAGCAGGAAAGCTGAGGAGATGAAACTCTATCGGGCTGTTTGGTGCTCCAGGCGGCGGGCAGCCCCCCGAGGAGGGGCTGCTACCAGGCTGTGCCTGGCTCCCAGCCCCTGGCACGGCTCCCCCGGGCACAGAGCGGCCAGCCCGGAGCTCTGCTTGGCACAGCTGGGCTCACAGGACAGAGCCAGAGAGCAGAGAGGCCCTGTCAGAGTGGGGCAAGGTGCTGAAGGTAAGTATTTAGCATTTACGTGTTCTGTGGGGTCAGTGGTTGTCCCCCCAGGACAACACACACACATCACAGCTCTGTGTGACAAACAGCCTGCAGTTTATTCCTGCAGCTCCTTCTCCAGGAGCTCCAGTTACTCGTGATTGCTTGAGGTCTTACCCCATCCAGCTCCCTGGGCATCTGCATTTAGAACTGCATGATCCTGGCTGAGTCCTGTGCAGACTGAATCCAACCTGTCCTGGCTACCCAGGGACCCCAATGCCGCAAGGAAGGGATCCTGGAGCAACCTCAGCTCCCTGCCAGTGCTCCTGGAACCTTGCAGCTCTCCTGGCTGCCCTGAAGCTGCAGGGAATGAGAGCCCTGCAGCATCAGAGAACAAGGGACCAGTGCAAGGAGAAGCAGCTTCATTCACCAAATTCCTTTCCTATCTTCTCCAAGCTGGCTGCCTTTTCCTACCACAGCCAACCTTGAGGCAACCTCCCCAACACAGACATTTTAGATGAAAATCTAAACATCTACCACTACAACATCTACCACTACAGTCCCAAAATCAGACATTACCAGGGTGTTTATTCAACCATAGCAATTTGAAGCTTTTCTACTTTGTGGCTGCCACATTTTCACCCCCCAAGTGTTGTAAACTCCTGTCTCCTCAAAATTCTGCCGTAATATCTAAACTTTTGGCCACTCCTGTCTCCTTGGTCTCCTGAAGAAAGCAGAAGTTTGTCAGCTAAAATTTTTTGCTCCACCCTGCTATCTGGAAACTGTTGGTCAAGAGCATAAACAGCAGTAAGATGGAATGGCTAAATGATCAGGGATGTAAATGCCAGTGTTTTGGGATAACTGCTGGTTCTTTAATTAACTTTCTATAAGATTTCAGACAAGATGCACTTTCTGAACCTTTTTTTTTTTCAGCAAATTGAATATATCTAAGGATTTGCTACACCTTATTTACTACTTGTTGGTTTCTAAAATTCAATTTTCAACAGAAGCAGGAAAACTCTGGGCTTAAAACCTGCACAAATCCAGGTCTGAGCAAACTGATTTGTCTTCTGTGAGTAATACAAGATTCTCCCCCAAAAGGGCAGTTTGTAATGACTTCAGCAAGGAGTTCTTGCAGGTGTGTGTCAGTGCAGTGGGCAGAGTGTGCTACCTGAGTATCCATCCAGGGGCAGCTGCAGTGCTCCACCATGCCCAGGACAAACACTGCTTTGGAGGCACACACTGAAGCTGGCTCTTGCTCTCAGGCTTCACAAGTCACAGCAAGAGAAATGTGGTCAAATGCCTCCTGGTCTAGACAGGAGGTTTCCTCATGCAAAACAGCTAAGTGATGAGACATTTCTAATTGAATTAAGGGGATCAGGAGAAAGGTCACAATCACATCAAACTATCTGGAAATGTTCATTTATGTAGGAATATGCTGGGTTTATTGCACAATCTGTTTAATCTTCTAAGAATTTTAATGTAATATATTTTGCATTCTTAGTTACACCAGCCAGAAATCTATCCAAGTTTAATCTGATGTTAATTACTCTGAAAATATTTCCCTTTCTCCCTAATTTTCTCTTTTAGTTGGTTTAGTTTTCTTCATTTAATCATAAATAAAAATATACAGCATTCATTTCTATAATTAGCAGGTGACTAATATTTGAACACAAAATCCTCAAAAAATTGGTATGTTTTAATGATTTCTTTTGGTCAACAGTGTGCAAGAGTATAATTTTTTTGACAGGGACTTAGAGGAATTACATGTTTGATTTCTTTTGCTGCCTGAAAAAACTCAGTGTCATTACACTGTGCAGATCCACAATGCAGTATCTGTGCCTGCAAACCAAATTCAGTTTCATGATGTCCTAGCTTTACTTAGGCTTTTTTATTTTCACTTGTAGAATTAGTCTAAAAGTGCCAATGGCTGCGAATACCCCAGTCTACAATACCATTTTCTTGCCCTAGAGATGGGGCTACTGAGAGGCTTTTTAAAAACTTTTAGTCCATTTTCAGTTTCACGAGAAGGGTGAGACAATACAGATGTTACAATTCGCACCATCACAATCAGAAGCTATTTCCTAATTACAATATGTTATAAGTGTTTCTTGGCCTATCAGCTTTTTGCCACACCATGCTGTAGATGACTTATAGCCAGTCATTGAAAACTACCCCCCGAGGGTCCTACTACAATGCATCTTTCACAGTTCTATTTCTCCAAAGTATCTAGTCTTATTTGTAAGGCCACCTTTTGAAACCTTTTTCTAGCTGCATTTCTCTCTCAACAATATCTGCCCTCTTCCAGGGCATTTCCAAGTCAGCATTTTTTATCTCAAAGTTTGCATAGAGATGCACACTGTGTGGGCCTTCTGTCAGGGCCCTGAAAACCCTCTAGAGATGCATTTCCCCCAGGCCAGGCCATGGCAGCTGTGTTCAGAGCTGTGTCCCTCTCCCTGCAGGAATACCGCATTTCCAGCTTTGAGCAGAGGCTGATGAATGAAATTGAGTTCCGCCTCGAGCGGACCCCGGTGGATGAATCTGATGATGAAGTCCAACACGAGGAGATCCCCACAGGCAAATACATTGCTCCCATCTTTGATAAGAGACTCAAGCATTTTCGGGTAATGGAAGGATTCCCTATTACATTCACCTGCAAAATAGTTGGAATACCTGTTCCCAAGGTAGGTCGTTCTCGCTGTAACTGCTAAAGGAACAAAACCCAACTCCCCACCAGTTTCTGTTCATCCCTCCTAGGCACATGGCTCTGTGGAGAGAGCTCCCAAATGAATCATTTCCCCCACCTTTCTAAAATAACAGTATCTGCTCCTGAGCATGCATCCGGCCTTGAGGTCCAACCACCTGACTCCAGGAGAGCCAGAAGTGCACAACCCCCAGAACCTCCCAGAAAGAGGGAACTGATCTAACCAGTGACGTGCCTCGAGCCAAGGAAAGAGAACCTGACAGGCCCAGCTATGATATGCAGCTTCCTGAGCTCAACCTGGAGTCATTCTCTTTCACATTATAACTGACTTGCAAAGTTTATAATGTTCTAAAATCGTATTAGCTATTGCTCAACTGATGTTATTTTTCTAGTTACTGTTAAGTCACAGCGGGTGTCTGATCACTACAGGTCTACTGGTTCAAGGATGGCAAGCAGATTTCAAAGAAAAACACACATTTCAAAATGAACAGAGAAGAAGATGGAACATGTTCTTTACATATTGAAGCTGCTACTAATGATGATGATGGCAACTATACGATTATGGCTGCAAACCCACAAGTAAGGGGGTTTATTTTATTTTGCAAAAATGCATTAATAGGAACACAAATTGGGCCACATGCTTTGACATCAAGTGGTGACAATATCACAAATCAGGTACTTTAGAGCATAGGAGAGGAAACCATGTAAAGATGACTGATGAAACTACTCTGTTACACAGACAGTCAAAAGCACTAAGGACATTTTCCCATGTTGGTAATTCCTGCCCTATCTCCTTCCCACTCTGTTGCTGATAGGTACCTTTTGAGATGTGCTGACAGGACAGACATGATGTTTCAGGCAGAAAGAATAGAGAAGGAACAAACAAATAGTTACATTAAATTTGGAACTGTTACTGAATATAGTCTCATTCCCTTACACCATTCTCCTTGACCCCATGTGCTCACTTAGCTGTTTATTTAGAAGTACATTCATCAGGCAACTTTTCCAGTTTAAATGTTTCTCTTTTTTGAAATTATTTTTCTGTTCAGTTGCTATATGGTGCATTTTAAAGTAGTCCAGTACAAAGGTACTAGCAGACAGTACCTGTGGCATGAATAAATAAGCAGGGACAGGCACTGCCAAATGCATTGCCACAGCCTGGAAGACTTTGAGAAACCCCTGCCTCAACTGCAGGCTAACAGCATTTGCTTTGGGGAAGTGGTATTCTCACTATAGTTCAGCTACTCTGTAAAAATAAATCCTAATGCACTGTAAGGTCCAATATTTGTACTTTTAATTAAATAAGCCATTAACCAACTATTAATTCTGTTTCCATTGTGAATTGCAGGGGAGGATCAGTTGTTCAGGACACCTGATGGTTCAGAGTGTCCCTTTTCGGGGACGAATATCCACAACTCAGCCTCACAGGTGAAAGAAAAAAGTCCTGCAGACCTTCTTTATGCTTTTTACTGAAGGCATCCAAAATAACCACTGCATTCATTGAACTTCAGTTCTCAATCATAAAATGGAAATAACAGCAGCAGTTCCCTCCCAACAGGTCACTTCTATGTTTTTGAAGGGCATCCCCAAATGCAGGGAAGTTTAAGTACGATTTCATTTACTTGGTGTAGTGGAGCTAAAGGCAAGGGGTGGATTAGCAAAATGAAATTCAGCCAAAAAAAAGCAAAAAGAAGCAAAGGCTGGCTTGGGAATCTAAGGATACTACATGATATAGTTAACTTGATAATCTTTCTAAAGGGAAAATATGCAAGAATTGAATTCCAATCAGTCCCTTTCTTTCTGCCCTTTTATGTAACTCATGCTCTCTCTCCATCCTTTACCTCAATTTCTTCTTTTTTTTTTTTTTAAGCATTAGGGGAATAAAAATGTACTTCCAAACACACACGTGATTTTTGCATTGCAGAACACGACCCCGGGTGCCAGAAGGGGACAAAGAGGCAGTCCAAGAACGCTTTTTCAGGCCATACTTCCTGCAGGCTCCAGGTGACATGGTGGCACATGAAGGGCGACTCTGTAGGTTCGATTGTAAGGTATTAACTGGCTCTTCTGTTCACTCTCATTTTCCCTACCTCTGTACATGTCGTGCTTTGTATTTTTTTGTGTTCTTTATTGCATGCATGAGCACTTTCCATTCAAAGGTTTAATGCTCCGTTTTTAAAACTATTTCTTAATGCCATTGTCTCTGAGCTGATTCCAGGGATTTCTTTTGAACAAATATTCTATGGGATGAAGAACACAGAAAACACAAACCAGAAACAGAAGGCTCACTTACAAGGTTGTTTAAATTACTAGATGTGTTCACTGTGTCCTTTACCAGTATGAACTCCAGAAGTTCTGCTCCATTACCAAACTCTTGAACATAATCCAGAATAGCACAAAACCATGAGAAAGAGAGGATGCAGCACGTTGCTTTGTGTTCAAACAAATGTCCCCATTGTATTGGACTGAATTACTAAAGATTAATACTCCCTGAAAAGAGGGAACTGAGCCTAGCTCATTTTATGCTTCCCCAGCATGCACAGAGGTAGAAACATCCCCATTTACTGATTGAAATCCTGGCATGAAAGAGTTGTCAGAGGTTAGAGTACACAGAGAGAACATCCTGTTATTGAACACCTTTAGGAGAATCATCTGCTCCAACCTATTCTGGAACCCCTCTATGTCCCTGCAGTGCAGCAAAAGTGGCAGTGCTGACACTGATCCTGAAGAGGGTAGAAGCTCTGAGGCACAAGTTAATGCCCTGAAGATGAGCAAGACTCATTACTACTTAATTTACGATGTAAAGTTTACAAGGAGCATGCCAAAGAATTTGGTTATTCCTAGCTCTGCTATCCTGGCAGAGCTTGTGAAGCCTTAAAGCATGTGTGACATTGCACAGCCCTGGGAGAGAGCAGTCCTCACTCAGACAAGTCCCACTTCCCTCTTTCTCTGCTTTCTAAAATGTTCTTTGGAAAGCAGTATTTTAGACATAAATACTGCTCCCTATTGAAGAGATTTTTAATACTACAATACAGTCTAATCTTTCAAAAAATACTTAATTTGTAATGTTATAAAGCATGCAAGTTCAACAGCTATGAAGTATTATATCATTCTTCATCAAATTTTACAAAATACAAAGTAATTTGTATAGAACTTTTTAAATCTCTGTTAAACTCTGTAGTATTTTACATCAAGGAATTTGATTTCTAGTCAGCACCAAAAAAAAAGGAAAAATAGCAGATTATTAAGAGTCTTTTGTGAATCTCATATTCTAATTTCATATTTCAAACTAAGTTTCTTCCTTTCTGACTAAGAAAAATGTAGATATCGCATGTATTTTTAAATCTTTTTACTTGTTTGTTTTCTGGGTTTCTCCCTTTTGGAAACAGTCAGCAGAGAAACAAAAACTGAGATTTTTTTTTTTTTTTAAATCTTTCTGGTCTCGATTTTGACACGATTCGGCTGGCATTTGTAAAAATGCCTGGCTCTGAATTTCTTAACCTCTCTGTGCCAGTTGGACACTTGTCTGGAGCTGTTTCCCTGTCTCCTAGGTGAGTGGGTTACCAACTCCTGACCTGACGTGGCTCCTGAACGGCAAAGCCGTGCTCCCGGACGGCAGGCACAAGATGCTGGTCAGAGAGACCGGAGTGCACTCTCTGCTCATCGATCCTCTCTCCCTGAGTGACGCTGGCACTTACACTTGCCTTGCCACCAACAAAACGGGACAAAATTCATTTAGTCTGGAGCTCACTGTTGTAGGTAAGAAGCACTGAAAAAGTCGCCTCAGTGATGAAGTCACCTGTATGCATTTCTTCAAACATACCTTACATAGTTTCCCTACAGACAATTATAGATAAATAGTTAATGCACTGAGAGAAGGAAAATCCCACAGCTGTAGATACAGAAATATAACTTTTATATATATATATTTCCCTCCCAGGCTGAAGGAGGGAAATGTGCTCAGATGAGAGCATTCCTGAGAATGCTGTAAGAATTCTGCCTCATTATCACCCATCCTCACTTTCTCCCCAGAAAATGCTTAGGGTTTGAATTCATAATATATATGTTGAGGTATTTCAGCCCAAATTTTATTGATTTAAAAATGTTTTTAAACAGAAAAATTTAATCTCTTTAATATAGCTTTAAAATATGTGAGATATTGAAATGTATAGATCTGGCATTAATTTTCTGCAATGTATATGTTTAGACCCATTATACATGCATATATTCTTCTATGAACTTCAGTTCTGCCTATTATTTACTTTATATCCCTTTACAGAGGCTATGTCATGGCATTTCACTTCCCTTCCAACATCCCACTAAAAATTCACAACCTATTTTGGTATCACAAGAATAATTTTTCTCCTGTTCTTCCATACTATTCAAAGAGGAAAAAAGAATAAAATATCTGTTGTTGAATAATTCTTTTTATAGCCAAGGAAGTCAAAAGAGCGCCCATGTTTCTGGAGAAGCTTCAGAACTGTGGTGTTCCAGAAGGCTACCCTGTCAGATTAGAGTGCAGAGTTGTGGGAATGCCACCTCCCATATTCTACTGGAAGAAGGACAACGAGACCATCCCATCAAACAGAGAGAGGATGAGGTATTGTAACACCCACGTCTGAGGTTTCCTGTGCCTGGACCAAGTGCTTCCATGAAAACCTCTGTGCTGAGTACAGATAGTGGTGCTTTGTAACAACTTCTTCCAGCCCCAGGAAGCTGTAGAAGCCTTGCCTCCCTGTGGGGTGCACAGTGGCTGTTTCCTTGGTTCAGAACAAAGGCAAAATGCACCCCTGCCTCAGGGAGGGGGACAGAGCCTGTGGGCCTGACAGGGTGTATGGATCTCCTTATCAAACATACCCTGAGGTGGTATCTTAGTGCATTGCAGCACCTTATTCTCTAAGCTATGTTTTCCCAGTTTAGTTCCAATTAGGTATGAATTCAATTTCAGAACAGTTTCAGTGCCCCAGAGCATGGGATAATAGAGAATTTATCATGTCAAATAGAGAAACTTCAAAAAGTTGGTCACATACAAAGGTAAAGCCTTTGATCCATGCTTACAAAATACAACAAAGTTCAGGTTCAGCTCTTGCAGTCAAATGCAGCCCTATTTTTTAATTTTTGCAAAAGAAAAGCTGATGAAATAAAGTGCCTGGCTGTAATTAATGATAAATGAAGTGCTTTCTTTTTTTAAAGATTTCTACTTCAGCATACATCTGATTTTTACTATTTGATTTCACTTGTTCCAAGTAACACTCAATGCAGTCACTGGATCCTTGGGATCAGCTTCAAGAGTCCCACCCCTTCCCACCCACACCTGCAGGCTCTGAGTGCAGGAAGCTGGCTCTGTTAGGGATGGACACCAAGCACAAGGGAAAGCATTCTCAGAAACCTCTTTTAGTGGTCACCCTGTCCCCACCCAGACTCTGCTGTCCCTCTCCAAAAACCCCACCTAACCGTGACCTTCTGCAGCCTATAGTCTATATGGTCTGGGCCCAGTCCTGTTTAATATCTTTATAGATAATCTGGAGAAGGGAACTGAGTCTGCCATTAGCAAATTCATGGATTACACCATGTAGATGTTCCTGTTTCATAGGGATTATGGTTCTGCACACACACACACACATTGTAGTTACTGGAAAAATCAACAACTCTCCTAAAATACCACATTTCCAGCTGCTTCACAAAAGGTTAGAAAACAAATTTCGCTTCAGCTCAGCAGAGGAATGGCTGAGGGAAACTTCAGTGCCAGGAGCAAGCCCAAGGGGTGTGACAGCTCTGCTATTTCAGCCCGCTGAGACCAGAAACCCCAAAGGCTTCCAGTGGCTCTGCACAGACCCACGGGCAGCACCATCCCTGCCTGTCCCTGTCTCACATCCCTGTTTCCTGCCTGAAGCCAAGACAGGCTTTTGTAGCACAACAAGGACACAGAGCAGCTCCTCCACTACTGCACCCCCAACATAGGGCAAATTGTGTAGTGCAGGGAACAAAGGGTGAAATGTTCCTTTTTTTATTAGAGCACAAAATGCCCTCTTGTCCTGCGAGCCTGTGGTTTCATTCCAGTTCATATGGAAACAAAATCTCAAATTTCAGAACATCCTGGAACTTCAAGTGCTCTGAAGTGCTCATCTCACTCCTCTTCCTTTATAGTGAGAGATGGGTTGATAAAACAGACCAGCCTCAGCCTAGAGAGCAAAGGAGTCTCACTTCTGTTATATCCTGCTGAAAAGTTTTTCCTGGAAATTGCAGCCACAAAGTCTTAGATCACTGGAGAGCAAAGGAAGTGGAGGGAACCATGAAGCAGGTTTCTTTCAGAGTGCTGGCCAAACAAATCTTTCTGATTTTCCCACCTGGTCATTTTCTCATGGAAAAGAGTGCCCCAAGAAAGTTTTTGACCGGCTCTGGTAGCTGTTGTGAAAAATATCACAACTTTGTACAAGTGTTCTTGGTATTTTATATTCTTGCTCCAGCTCCTGAATTAGGAAAACTACAGTATGATTGTGCAGCAGCTTTGCACAGGTTTAGCTCATTAGTATTCAATAAATAATGTGAATATTAACATATACAGAGTAACAACTCGGCTCCCACAGTCACACCGTGGCTGTGCACAACTGAGAGGAGCCAGAACAGATCTGAGATTTCCTGATCATTGTTTGAGGCCATACTGAAAGCATATCTATTGCCTATAGACTGCTACCTCTTTGTGAGTAGAGATGACAACGTATCTGTTTCATATTTAATATACATTTTTCAAAATCTGAAAGCTGATGTGCTCTTGAGAAATACTAATTCCCAAACACTTGTTTTCCAGCATGCATCAAGATACAACAGGGTATGTCTGCCTGCTGATCCAACCTGCCAAGAAAGCAGATGCTGGCTGGTACACCTTGTCTGCAAAGAATGAAGCTGGCATCGTCTCCTGTACTGCTCGACTTGACATATATGGTAGGTATTGGCTGGGAAAGAAAGCAGGGCCCCAGCTGCTTCTTCATCTGGCTGTGACATGGTTAGAAATCAGGGGCTTCATAAGGCCCCAGAAGAGACATAATGACACAGCTAAATGGCCAAACCAGCCCGGCTGCACCGGTGTGAAGGAGGGTAAGCACAAAAAGCCAAAGCAGGGGATTTGCACAATGTTCTCTACTCCCACCGTCCACCTCCCAGAATCCCTAGACACATAAGCATACATTTTCAAACCTTAACTCTACTGCCTCTAACGAGTCTGTGCAACAGCCCTGACCTGGCAGAGCAATGAACTGCACACAAGAAAGCAGACCCCTTCTTCCAGAGAGCATGGGGGTGCAAACCAAGCCTAACTGAGGGGAGCTACTTTACATCCAGTACATTTGTCTAGGACTCAGAAGGTCCCATCCCACCCCAAGAACTACAGCACATCATTAATCTGCTATCTCTGCAAGATGGAATAGAAAAAGCAGAGTATTTTGATCACTTAAGCAGCATAATAAAACAGAAAGCATGTTCCACAAACTGGAGAATATATATATATATATATTCCACCAATTGTTTGGATTAGAACCAGACCCTTAAAAGAAAAAAAAGAGCCCATGTTTTCAAACTGGAATTTCCATTTTGGTTTTTAAACCCCCCCCCCCAATTATCAGAAGCGAGTGACCAGTGCATCTCTGTCAGCCTCCTGCCACCTTGTGGTGATGCGGGCAATAGTAATGGAAGGCTCAAGAGAGGGCTAGGGGGAGGCTGATTTGAGAAAGGTGAAACAAAATTTCAAAATTCCTTAGGTATCTACATGTTGAAAGACATGAAGTTTCAAATGAATTCAAGGCACAAACAAGAAAAATACAGAAATTAAGAAATGCATCCCAAGTCCAATCATATTTTCTAATATATGTAACTCACAGCCCAAAGTGAGTGAAAGTAATTTTTGTTTGTGCTATTTTGAATGGGTAGGGTCGAGAGATTGAAGGTGTGGCCTGATATTTGCAATTCTGCATGCAAAGAAAAATAATAATGAGTAAATAATGAGTTCAAGTAGAAACAAATTTGGTGCTGCAAGAAAAAAGGAAGCTCTTTTTAAAATATTTCCAAATAGGCTCAAAATTCAGCATGGAAAGACACTTCCTATCAATGCTTAACATGTAGATTGTTGTCTCCCACACTAAAAACCTCAGAGCATTGGAGCCTGAACTTGACTTCCATTTTCATACCCTTTCATTTTAACTGCTTATGGATATGTCTTTCTAATTTGGGTGCAGACCCACATGGAAAAACACTAGCAAAGATAATATAATTTTCCCTTGTCTGAAGTGCTTTAGGGATAGCAACTACTAGGTATTATGTAATATAATATTTTTACAAAATTTTAGCTGTATTTGTTCATATGGGAGCATGTAGAATGGTACTTTTAAATTACTGAATATGTGTCTTTGGAATACATTTATTTCAGTATTTTTAAAAAATCTAGAAAACATGTTAGTGATTGTAATTACTACATGGCAATAAAAATTGCAATCACTTTCTAGAAAAAAAGTCATCCAGAGGGTGAAGCAGAACAGAATCAGAGCCCTGGCCACTCTTTTCATCTCTGTTCATGCTATGTATGTTTTTAGTTCTGATTTGGAGAAGGCTCCAAAGATTTAATCATTAAATTTTGGACTTTGTGAAATCCATGCAAACATTGCCATTGAATTGAACAGGGATGAAATTTTATCTACTTCAACAGAATTGCTGAACATCCAAACAATACCAATGACAACATTTGAAAGAGCAGACCCTAACCCAGAAAGCCCAGCGCTGTGCTCTCTTAGGGATGTCGGAAGCAGCTTTCCGGGTGTGTGCATTGACTTCCCCTGGTTCTTTGTGACCCAAAGCAGAGGTTTACAGAGCCCCTCGTGTTTCTGTTGCTGCAGCTCAGTGGCACCGTCAAATTCCACAAGCTCTGAAGCTGCGCCCCGGGGGCAGCCGCTACACGAACCTCAGCAGCCAAGGACTCGACATCTTCTCTGCCTTCCCCGCTCCTGAGAGCCCTGTGCTCTTCTCATCCCCAGCCCAAAAGTTGGTGGAGAGCGAAGAACTTTGAAAACCAAACACTTGTTCCAGTTGCACCTGCGGAGATACTTAGAACTGTGAAAAACTAAATAATAAAAACAAAAGAGGTACAACTCACGATGCTCAAGGTTTACAAGCAACTTGTTTGTAATGAAGTGTTCTGCTGCTGCAAATGCTGCAAGTGACCTATCGTACGAGACTTTCGCATATATGATTTTAATGCAGGATAATTGTGGTATGGAGTGTTGTGCAATAAATTCAGTGCTGTGTAGTTTGCTAAGAATTACACAGAGAACATAGTTTTCAGCACCTAAAAGCCAATACCACTTTTACTTCTTGAATTAGAGCTACTGCACTGTAGCTGCCATGGTAAGGATTGATGATGATTAGCTGGAATACTGCCAGTGAAAACACTGACATTACAGTAACACCAATCCTGAATGAGGGTAAACAACAAGACTTTGAATGTAATTTAAAAAAAAACCATGCCAAATAATCACAAAGCACAAGTTAAAAAGAAAAGATGTAACTCATTTTTATATATGATTATTATGCCAGCCTATTCTAGAATTTTTGAACTCCAGACTAGGTAAATATAGCATTTAGGTACAGCTATATACCCTAAATATTTATATCTGTGTGTGTGTACTCTATGAACTGTGTATTCTTGGTGTAAGGGTTCATAAAATAAGGTACAGGGCATGTGCATAAGGAACATAGAAAATGGAAATTCCTCTTGTCTGAAGCATGTTCTCTTGAGCCCATAGCTGAAACTATTTACCAGATGTGCTTCATACTTTTTTCTTTACCATGTTAGTGATCCTCTGACTTTAACATGGATGATACCAAACTTGTCACTTCATGCCTTTTAAATATCAGTATCTTTTTCCTAATTTTTAATGTGCACCTACCACCTAGGTCATTTTATAGCTAAATGGAAAGGAATTGGCCTGGTAAATTTTCACCACCATTTAGGAAATGATCACAAGTGTAGTGTCTAATAGGAAGACAGAAAATTCTGTTAATATACAAAAGTTAAGAAGTTAAGCAACAGTTACATGTAAAAAGCTAAAAAAACCCAACAGTAGTAATAAATAAGGCAAATTAATGAAAGCTCAACAGAAGGTGTTAAGTGACAACACTTAATGATTGATTTAAATCTATTTGGCATCTATACAATTACATCAATAGCCCCAGCTGTTAGAATCTGTGAATGTTTAAGATGTTTCCCTGCATCTTCAAATTACTGCTAACCCTCTCTCTAGACATTGGTTTCAAGCACTTCTTACTGCTTTCAACGTGGCTGCAGAATGCCACAAAGTCATGATCAAAGTCACAGAGACGGAATAAAATTTAACAGATACTTTCATTTTAGACAATGTTTGGGGATTCTTCAAATTGAAAATTTTAACTTTAAAAAACTCCATATGCAAAGAAAACGATGAAGAGTTATGTTTAGAGCAAAAGAATGTTGGATATAGCCAGAGACTGAGAAAGAGAATGTCTTTCACTGAGCTTCCCACAAATAGAGCTTCTGTTGTTCCTAACATTGATTCCCTCAGGATTTAGGGGAAGCGAATTTCTTGTGTTGTTTTACTTCTCACCTGAGTGAACACCATAAAACAAAACCATCATGATAACTCTTATACTTTTGTTAGGAATCTCAGGCAACTCAACCCAGACTGGTCAGACCAGAAAGCTAAAACACAGTCTCATCCTAAGAGTTAAAACAAGGTACAGGCATTTCTCAGGGAAAGCAGATGTTGCCCACATTGTACCACTTCCCTGGCAACAAAATAAAACTCATGGCTATTGAGAGTGATGCATTGAGTTAAGTGACTTCAGTAATGAGATGCAGAACCTAAGACATAATGTGGGTCTGATCTTCCAGGACAGAGAATCTACTGCTCCTGTTACCTTCATTTGGTTCTTAGAATGGCTTAAGGATTCCAAAACTATACCCAAAATTTCAAGTTTCCCACATTAGTTACTACTCTTGGAAAAATAATCCAAGAAGAGTTACTGGATTTTGCTTGCTTAATTCAGTGCTGATGGGAAATGGAAAGGCAGGAAATTAAAACACAAAAGTTCAAACTCACATCTACAGCCATGGTCTTCCCATCATTTCACAAACCAGAGAGTAGGTTTTGAACTCCAGTATTCCAGGTTCTATACTGGCCATCAGGCTTTATCCCTCAGTCAAGAGATTGCCTGCTTGGAAGTCCCCTGTGGCCCCTTTTCCTGGCTGACAGTGAGGGGTTGGCCCAGATGATCCCCTGACCTAAATCACTCTATGCTTCCTAAATTATTTTCTTTTCCAATGCCTGTCTAGATATCCTACCTGGATTAAGTTACCTGTCAGCTAAGTAGAAACTAAGAATTCAAGCAAGCACAAACTTTTCCTTTTTGCTGGAATCTAACCCATTAGACAAGCCCAGCTACAAGAGTTCTTCACACAGTGTAGAAGAAAGGAATGTTAGTACTCTCCACTGACAAGTATTACTGACAGTAGCAGTGGTTTTCACATTTTACAGCATCAGACATCACCCAAAAACTCAATGCAAATGACAGACAAATTGCACAGTGCAAACATGCAAACCATCTCTCTTCACCTTTTCTCTGCAATACCAGAGGAGTGTCCCCAAACTCACATCATTACAACCTGAGCTGACATGCTGACCATCACGTGGTAAAATTTTTCTTAAAATGTCCATTCATTTCTTTGGAAGTGGGAGGACAAGAAGCTGACTTTTCCCAAAGATGTGTGTAAGAAGGATTAATCCCTAGTCATTCAAGAAGGGGCCCCAGAAATCTCAGTGAGAGTCAGGCTACAGAAGGCAGATCACCAAATATGTGTTAGCTGAACTATAATATTCTCTCCTGAATAGTATTTCCTAGCAAAAAGGAAATACTTCACATTTCCCTACAGAATGCAGAAAACGGCAATTTCAATTCCTTCAGTAACTCCTACCCTGGTCCCAAATGGTCTGTAGGTGTTAAATTCTCTTCCCTAACTGCTACAGGGCATTTCCCCTCTGGGTGTGCAGAGCCCATGCAGGAGCCTGCAAAGGCAGCTTGTGGGAAAGGATGGCAATGCTGTTTGACAGGTTCCTTGTGCTCATCACAAGGAACAACTTGCAAGAAAACTACACCAAAATAACATTTGTATTGTTAAGTGGTGGAAAAGACAAGGGAAAAGGCCTGTGGAAGGGAAGGACAGTAGGACAGTCCTGTGTTGTCACACCACGTCAGGATGTGCTAGAGCCACTCTGCTCCCTCCTGAACAACCCGGCTGCTCGTTGCTCCTCTTCACTGAACAGCCAGTTCCACTTCACACCAACACAGCTTCTCATCCTCGTATTCAGGGCAGGCTATGCAGCAACAAAATTTCATGTTACACCTGCCACCAAAGCCACTGTTAGTTCTTAACTTCCAAAATCCATGAAGCCACCACAACATGGAGCATCATGCTGTGTAAGTGTGATACAGAAATGCTCACGTTTGGAACCTCTCAAGCGTTCACTGATTCACAATCTTGTAGGCTGATTTGGTTTCCCCTTTCCTCCCAGTCCTGCTTTGGTGTACAGCCAATCAGAGGCACAGTATATTGCACTCTACAGGAGAAATGACATCTTTTGGGTTGCAATTCTACACTTCAAAGAGTTTTCTTTCTGCTTCAAACTTTTGGTCCAGACTGATGCAAAGCCAGCCTACAGCAGCATTACAGATGGGGCTGCATTGATATCATTGGACCTCCTGCCTTTAAACCACTGGATTGAGTTCCTTGTTTCCACATGGAAGTGGAGCAACCCTTCTGAAAGCCTCACATCTGCTAACACGAGGAGATGAGAGCACACACTGCAAAAAGGATAACCCAAGTCTGCAGTTTGCACCTCAATATGTAAACAACTGCCAGTCCCAATTGTTTACAGCAACTGTAGGTACTTCAAACAATAAATCTGGAATACAGATTCATTTAAGAACTGTGTTCTTAATTCCACCAGGTTTAAAAGCACTAGTTTCTGAAAAATGTCTTTACAAAACCTAATGAAATATTTATACTGTTAATACTGGAGAAGTGATTCATTGAAAATTGCCTCATTATTTCCAATACAAAAAAATATTCACTTTGAGCCTTAACATTCTAAGTTAATATTTCTTCTTGATTAAAGTTGATATTTTTAATTGTTTTTCAGAAGTCATTCTCACTGGCAAGAAAAATGCTCACATCAGTTTTACAGTATATTTTAATGGCACATGAAAGGAAAAAAAAAACTCCTGTCTGTTCAGTAATGTATTTCCCTTCATCTCACCTGAACTTAAATGAATGCTTCAGATTGCATACGAGACTGTGTCCTTCACATAATAATTGTGAAAATAATTGTGAAAATGTCCAACAATGCCAGAAATTTTCTCAGAACTTTGCTGTGACAGCTGATTAATGAAATCAGACTACATTATTTAGAAAAAAAATAATAAATATTGTCAAGTCATGTACTAGCCATGCTTCTAGCAGGTAGCTGTGAAATAAAGTTGTTGCTTTTTTAAACAATTCTCGGTATCAGTTCCCATCAGTTTTAAGATATACTCCTACCTACAGTCTGCCACAGCAGAACTCTGTCGTGTGTCACACATTCATGGAGAGTCTGCCTGTTGCTGGGTCCCCCTCTGCCCTGAATCCCTGTGTGCTGCAGCTCCCTGTGCCCACAGGCTCAGGGGCTGGCACAGAGCACAGATCTTTGAACCCTGCTGTGCATCCTGCACTGCAACAGGGAAAGTCTGAACCACAGCAAACCGAACACACAAACCACACTGAAGTTCACTGCCTGCAACACCAATAATTGAGTGTCTGCTTTGTGCCCATCAGTGCATCAGGGAATGGGTTTTAAATGAGCTGCAGATGCAAACCAAACACTTGAAGGAAGCTGGATCTCATAGCTCAGCTGCAGAAGAGAAGAAGACCAAGAAAAGGATGAGTCCTGTCGCTTTTGCTCCCCCATGTAACCATGTTTCTCCATTCCCACCTGATTTCTATGTACTTGTGTGCCTGCCAGCTGAAAGGAAATGTTCTTAAAACTATTTTTGCTCAGCTACAGCTTTGTGAGCTGAAGTGGCTCCTTTGCATTTTATCATTTCCTCCGAGCAGCAAAAGTTGCTTCTATTAATGCCTTTATACATCCACTCTATCCATATATGTATAGTCCACTATAAGGAACCATTTATTGCCTAATCAAAAGAAATCTTGGGCCACAAGTGTGTGAATTTCAGTGGAGTTCTCCATTTATGCCAGTGGGAATTCTGTTCAGAAACTGCCCATCTTTTATGATCACATGGCCTGTTAGTAACAGGAAACATGGTTTTGCAAAGAAATGGAAAAACATTGAAGACAATCTGAGATGCTATAAAAAATACTACTATGCACCCCAGGCTGCAGGAAGCCAGTCAAAAATTAACTTCTTATTCCTTGGAGTTATGTATGCAGACACTTCAAGCAAATTTTTTTGCATACTAATTTCTGTACAAATGAAAACTGAACCACAAATTAGAAAAAAAAAAATTCGTAGACAATATGAAAATGTACTCTTTAGTAGAAGAGACATTTAAATATTATACATGGGGTAGGTTAGGGGTTTTGAAGCCAGGTTTGCTTAACATGTAATTAAAGTTTAAAATACAGAGAATTTTTAGGAAGTCCACAAGTACCAGGTGAAACAAATGGGGTTTTTTAAGATATCTGTGTAGAGGAAACACTGAACTGCTTCTTCCACAAACAAACATGTCTTCATCCTCAGTGCACTTATTTTTTTCCCGTGGCTATTTTGTAGAAATAGAAGAGCTGAACATACTTAGAGCATAAAGCAGCTCTTCTGTGAATTATTTTTAAAATCTGGTTAAATTTCACTCCTAAACTACAAAGAACTGCCTCCATATTGCTCAGCTCAAATAGCTGGAATCCCAAGAGTAAGGGTGCCTATGTTAAGGCAAAAGCTTCCTTTGGCAAATCAATGCCTCTGGCCTGGAAATAGTACTTTTTAAAAACTTGTTGCCAGTGAATTCCATCACAGGAGAGACTTCCACAAAGATTTGATATGGAAAGTTTTACTTAACGATATAGAGGGAGTGAGCTAAATATTGAAATACCTAATGATACTCATGCTTCCACACAGGAGAAAGCTGCACTGGCATTGACTTTACAAATGTATAGCTGAGTCAGGGACACTTTTACTTTGAATGGGTACTGTAGCACCATTTCAGAATTCCAGTCAAGAACTGAGACTTGCCCTGTGTGTATGTATAGTACAAGATGGACTGTGCACTAAATGCCTCGTAAATGGTGAGATGGAAGACAAAAGCCTAAAAATTTGGGATGAATGGAAGCTGAAAGACATGCTGATGATAAGGAAGAAAGCACTGAGTTTTTATTACCAACACACGTTTTGGGAATCTGCTACCCTAATTCTGCTTTTAGCCACTGCAAAGTCCCTGCAGTTAAAAATGCCACTCTAGTTCCAAGCTCAAAAATAGAGGATAATTTCCCACAAATAGTTCATTAGAATTTCACACTGAGTTTCAACAGTGAAACACATATCTGTACAATATACAAGGCCTATTAAATGAAGCAAGCATTTGTCATCCCTAAAGCTCCCACAATAACGTGGTTCTAGAATTACAGTGATAACTGGACAGAGGGAGCAGATGTAGTACTGATACTACAAACAAAAGTATTTCAGGTTTGCACTGCACTGTTCAGGGGGACAAAGACTGATGAGCAGACAAAACTCAGCCTCTAAGAATACACCAAGCTCTGAGCATCTAAGCTTTGGCTTATCTGGAGATATAGAAACAATAATTATTTAAGGGGAAGGGGCATGAAATGCCCACACCAGCAAAGTCCAGTAGAGAATGTGGCTCAGAGCCATTACCTGACCAGCATCAAAAAGTCAGTGGGGAAGAAATATTTGGGAGCAATAATGAAACCCAAGTCAAACTGTCAAGTTTACATTTCACAAATGTCACTGAAGTATTTGTAAAGGAAACCTATTAAAAGAAATCAATGATTTACTGAATGGTAGTTGTGTTTGAGAAGTCCCAACCAGCATGGATATTATCCGCTTTTCAAACTGCACTCAGAGAGATTTTTTAATGATCAAACTTTCCCATCACCTCACCTCACTCCCCAGAAGGCTTTGACAGATAATCAATAGACAGACAGCTGTCTGTGCACTACACAGAATTTAGTCTGCTGCCTTCACTGCTCCAGTAAACTGAAATTCCCAACTTCAACACTGCACACTCCCAAGAAACAAAACCAGTACAGGATTAGATAAAATTTTCCCACCAGCAATATTCCTAGTTATAAATAAAGGTATCAATAAACATTCGTGTCCCATTAGCACAACAAAATCTAAGAGAATGGGGAACACAGGGGATTATAACCTTAACCATACTGATCAGAAGCAGAGATTTGATACCATGACCTGATTTGTAAGTGCTCACTACCTACATACTGCACTGAAGTGCATTTCAATTCTTAATAACGTTTGGTAACATGAGCACAGATATTTTATGGTTTGTGTTGATTTGTTCCTCTTTATGAGCACTTATTACCATTTAATAATTTCCTGCATACTAATCCATTATTTTTTTAACTACATCATCATATGCAGCAGAAAATAAAGTACAATGCTGCACAGATGAAACAAAATTGGAAGAGAAATGGTTGTTAAGTACTTTTACCCAAATTACTGCAATGTCATGGCCCAAAAAAACAAATCCTATGCCAGTAGCACGGAAACATCAGTTGTGTTCTTGCACCCTATTCTGGCATTTATCCTTTTGCACTGTATTCCCCTTCCCACCTCAGCTTTAGGCAATCTTTGACTAATCCAAGCTTTCTATGTCATATCATCACATGGCTTCTTTGCATCCAATTCCTGTTCCAGTATGGAAAACCCGCTGTTAGCGGTGCAGGTGAGACAGTGGCTGCCTGAAGTGTATAGCTAACACATTAGGATAAGATAGCACATCATTTAATTAACAATTGTATTCATCGTTGTTGCACACATAAACTTGCCACTTAACGGTAAGTAATATTCACACACTCTGCCCTGAACTGCTCCTGCAGCACGGTCCCGCTCCCCCAAACACGCCTTAGCTCCTATTAATGCCTTTGTTCTTCTCTGAAAGCTGCTTGATTGTCGAAAATAACTCCTATCAAAGCTATTCATTAGTCATTTGGAAGAATCCTAAACTATAAGACATGGCAGCAGCCAGCAGGGAACCCGCAAGCTTTCCCTGCTGGAAATCCACCGCCAGCTGCCGTGGGGCACAGCTCGTTTTCCCCTTCCCTCTCCGGGCTTTTCTCTGCAATCTCCCCTCAATAGCAATAGCAATAGCAGCATCCTTCAGCTCCACAGCCTGCTGCCACCACAGCACAGCAGGCACCGGCAGCCGAGCCGCTGCAGCCCCTGCACCCTGCTACAAACACGCCTGCTTCCCCAGCAGCCGGCCTCTCCGCGTTTCTTTATCTTCCCAGCCTCCTTTCCTCTTCTGCCTTTTCTCCCCAGACCCCTCTATCCCCCACAAGTGAAAGCAGCAAGTGAACAAAAGGCCATTCAGCACATCACCAGGGCTGAAATGAACTCAATTGCTCTGCAAAAGTGCTCCATCGTTTTCTCCCAAATTTGTACATAAAATACACTCCTTACCGTAACTGGAAAGAAAATATCATTTGCTGGTTGTTTCTTTAGCACATTAAACTGCCAGGATTGTGATAGAAGTAGTGCAACATTTGGGGCAGAAAATCCACTAATAAGTAATTCCTAGAGTAGGAATTTCAGATATTTGGTGAGGACATAGCATATAAAACACTTTATTTAAGATTTACAAAATCTGTTATTGTTTCCAGATAACATAAGATTAAAAAATAAAATCCCATCATTTAAAGCCTACAAAAATCTAGAAGCTTAGATTATTTTCACATAAGCATTCTCATTTATGGTATACAATCACACATGTTTTTACAACCATTGAAAATAAAACATTCCTTCCATGACTTGAAACCAGCTCTTTTTCGAGCATACAAGAGACACCATAAACTGGATTAAAGCAAACCTACACAACTTTGGAACCCATATGTCAAACTTACAAAGTTTAAGAAAGTTAGTTCTCTGAGGACTAGAACTCCAATACATTATAAAACTTTTTCCATGTGAACCGTTTATGCAAAAAGACACTAAAGAACAACTTTAAAGCTGACATAAAAAGAAAAACATGGAATGAGGTCCATTTCTGGTGCTATTCCATTCAGTTATACCACGGGTCAACTTGTCCCATGATCTGTAGAAATACTGTTGTGGTTCATCACAGTAAAAAAAAACCCAAAAACTTCTTTAATTAAAGCATTAAATACACTAGATAAACCAGAAAACAATTGTCAGAAATATTTCAAATTAAAAGTATAATTTCCACCAGCATTATATAAATTCATTCATCTTAAATACCTTTTGACTTTATGTTCCGAGAGCAAATTTATTTTGTCAAACGACTATAAGATGCAAACAAGAATGAGCTATTATAATGCCAATATTACCTTAGTCAAGCAGATTATTGCTAATTATTAAATTACACATCTGGCCTGCTGCAGACTCTTAGGTGGCAACAAGTTCTAATTAGCTATCTGGAAGTGCTCGGGGTGGTAGCCGAACACCCTCTGTGCGTAGGGATCGCTGTCGGCCGCGGCTTTCTGTGCCGGGTAGCGGTGGTAGCCGTCGCCGTGGAAGCGCTCGCAGTGCAGGCTGAGCCACTCTCGCTCCGTGCTGAACCTCTCAGCTTCGGCCAGGATCCTGGTCAGAGCCATGATGTAGCTCAGAGCCATCTGCAGGGTCTCGTACTTGGAGAGTTTCTTATCCTGCCCCCACTGCGGAACCACCTTTCTCAGGCGATCGAAGGCCGTGTTCAGGCCCTGCATGCGCCTCCTCTCGCGGGCGTTGGCAGCCAGCCTCCTCTTGGCAGCGTTCTCCATCCTTTCCGAGCCGCACTTCACAACGCAGCCCGCTCCGCTCCTGCACTGCGAGCCCGGCTCCGCACCTGAGTCCAGGTGACTGGATTTACAGCTTTTCATGTTTCATGCAGCTTCACTTTCACACGCACAAAGATCGCCTAGCAAAAATTTGCTTTCTAAAAAGTGGTAAGGAAAGCACTCATGGAGTAGCCTTCGCACCACTTGAATCTGTTTCCTGATATCAATTATGGGGTATTTTTCTTGCCTTCTAAAAAAAAAAATAAAATAAAATAGAAGTTCTTCTGGTTCTTCTGGAAGCGTCTGAAAATTTTCTTATCGTTGAAAGAAAGAAGGAAACATTTTTATGCCTTGTGCTTTCATTCTTTAAATTTCTTTAATCTCAAAGAGAGAGAGAAAACAATGAAATCTCCATTCTCAAAATGTACGTTACGAAGAAAACGGTCCGTTGAATCCAAGAAGGATCTTACTGGATTGAAGGCACAACAACTCCAAACGGCTGTTTCAAGTGAGAGAAGCCCCGATCCAGCTGACGGTGAAAGGGATTTTGCGATGGCGAAGGGCTGTGCTCTGAAGCCGTGACCTCCTAAGAGAGATCTCTCTTTCCTGGCTCTGCCGGCCAGCGAGGGTTGTGCGGAGCGGACCAGACGAGGCTTTATAGAAACGGCAAGAGCTGAACAGGTGGCAGCAGGTGGGCGGGCGGCACGCTGCTGCCATCCCAGCACCTTCCCACCCTGGGAACTACAGGGGGAAAAAGCCAAACAGTAAAATCCCAACATTGCAGCCTTCATCTGGTGAGAAGTCTTCCAAAGCCGTTCTGTCCAGCCCTAACAACTTGCCATCTGGAGTAGTGTCTGGCTGGCCCCACAAGACTCTGGGCAGTTAAGCAAAAGACCCTTTCAATGGGTAATCTGTTGCAACTCAGGGGGAAAAAAAAAAATCTCTGTGCATTGTAGCATTTGTACATTAAAACATGTGAAAATTCAGGCTAAGTATTGAGGATAGAAGAATAACTGCATTAATCAAACAGGAGAAAGAGCTAAAAGATACATGCCACTGTTTTGCACATATGGTAGCAAAATAAGTAAACTCAAATTATTAGAAACCCCTCAGCCTTCCCAATTTTAATATTGTATAAAGTACACAACATTGCAACCAGAGTAATATCTTAAGGAAAAAGGGGATTATATATTTGCCTGTCAGCAAACTCAAAGACATCAGAATAATTTAAATACATTTAAACAGTTAAAATGTAGCAATAGATTTATGTAATAATTGCAAAAATATTTAGATGGGTTATGATAGTTACACACAAAAAAGATGTAAGCATACTAATCACCTGAAAACTGCCCTTTTTAATACACCCTATTAAAGTATATATGTGTATTTGACATGAATTAAAGGTGTATTTTTAGTAATATCTCTAAATAAATAACAAGAATAAAAGAGGATGTGAAAAACAAAACTACTTGCTGGCAGCAAGGGATCAATTCTGCTATAACTGAGATGCCAGAGGAGCCAAAATATACACACACCCGTGCCCCATAATAACATCTTTCTTTTACTGTACTTGTATTGTACTAAAATCACAACTACATAAACTTACAAGGAAGTATCACATGATCTTTTTATGATGTACACAAAAGGAAAAAAAATCCCTGCCACACAATGATTTATTATCTGTATTGATTTCAAACTTAATTAAATTGTTACCAGCATTCATAAATTAGTAACTTTTTTCATTAGAGACTGAATACTGTATATTTATTTAGAACTATAGCTCAATTGTTTTCATTATGACTCCAAAACTTGGTGTAGTTGTAAACAGCTGATTAATCCCTAGCAAAAGCAATGCCAATGAAATGAGGTTGAATAATCCAAAAACAATAGGTTGCAATTGAACACTAATGGACTCCAGCACGACAGATGTTGGACGTCGGCTGTTACGCCCAGTTGCTCTGCTCTTAATATTCCGCATCCTAATGATCATGACCAGAGATGATAGCTGGGGTAGGGAGTCTCCATTATTCCATTATCAAAATGTATGCCACTTCTTCAATTTTTAAAGAAGTGCAACTTGGTCACGTTTCATTAGAAATGTTCTACTTGGCTATCTGTGTGCGCTGACCTATTCTCCAAACATAAAGAGCTACTACCACTCACTAAAGTGCCACTTTCTGATGATCTGTGTGAGAACAGCTCCCTCCAAAAACCCACAGAAACATATGTCTTCCCTAAAGGATCAGCAATTAGAGCTTGTGAGATTTCTGTTTCTGAAGATGCTCCATGGGAAGTACCGCATGTGCATCTGATCTTCGTGCTACTGCTAAAGCATATTTCAGTGCTCCTGCAGCCTTCTCTCCCTAATAAGTCTGTTAGTTAAACCCTGTGTCTCTTACAATGAATGTCAAACGATTTTTCATGTAAAAGAACACCAGAGAATTAAGGTGTTCTGTAAGTTAATAAATACTGTCTGTTCTCATGAAAGAGCTGCTACTCAATTCAGGTAGTCAATCACTCTTCATCTTAGAGTGCTGCTAACATCATGCCACAAACACGAAAAGCTCCCCTTTAAAATAGAGTACCGTATTTTTTCACTTGGCAGCAGTTTTCTTTTTTTAACTTAATATGTCCTGACAGTATAAATTATAATGAAGACTTCAAATATATTGAAAATCACAGTGCTTCAGAAACTTTGTATTCTCCCTCACTAATGCACAGTAAGCCAGTACACAGCAGTGCTGTTAATTGTCCCTTCCTAATTGACTCACCACCATCATCATGCTTTGACTAACACACTGCTGTAATCTCATGAGAGAAGCTGTGATTTATCTCTCCTACTGAACACGCTGTAAACTTCAGCTTAAATGATTTACTATCAAATCACAGGACAAGAGCCCAGATCCCTTTAGACTAATAATGAATTAATAACAGGATTTTATAGCTCATAGGTAAAGCTAAAAAATGTTGGCTTATCCAAATACCTGGTTTTCAGCACTTAAAATTTTGTTAAGTTCCTGCTTTATGAAAGCAAAATACAAAATGTATAAAGGTCTTATTCACACAATCTAGTTCATTTGTACAGCCACACTGCACAGCCTTATCATAATGTTACCTCAAACTAAAAAATAATCTGCTTTATTGCTCAGTGAGTAAGAGAAAGGGTATCAGTTGGCATTTTCACAGGTTTCCTTCACTCAGTTTGATTTCCTGTATATTTCAGCTTGTCTTAATTAGTTCTTATGTAATCTTATTCCCTCCTCTCTTTACTTTTAATAATTCCTCATATATATTACTATTTGAAATTTTTTTTAATTATTATCAATATTTTTATTATATTTTATTTATATTTTATTATATTTTTTAAAGATACTACTATATCCTGATGTGATAAATTGCTATGGTGCTGTGGTGCTAAAATCTTTTCTTAAATGCTAATTTATATTAGTTTCATGGGTTTTGAAACCAACCATTTCTCAAAAAATTCCCTTTTACTCTTTTTTTCCCCTCATAATCTTGAGGCAGAAAAACACCAAAATCACCAGAAAGAAGTTCTGTGTCTACCCAGTTGCACAAATTTCAATCTTTGATTCTCTAACTATGCAAGTACCAATTTAGTGCTGCTCCATGATCCTTGCAGCATTATTCCTGAGTCATATTTTAATTCTAAACCAGTATCATTAACCAAAATATTATGTTTCCCTCAGAGAAAAACAAGAGACAGATAAGAATGCTATTTCAGTCATAAACCAGGTTATTTCAGCAACTTCAAGTCACCACCAATATTAGAAAATAAAGGAAAGTTTCAATCCACTAAAGAAATTAGGTAGTTTCAGGATTTATGATTACATACATAAACCCATCCAAAATTGTCTGCTAGGTATCCAAGTTAAAAACTCAGATGCAATTAGTGCAGCACACACTAAGAGATTAATGTCTTTCACCTGTACTACTATGGGAAACACAATCTAACTTCTTTTATTACTTTTATTGGGGATTGACTGGGACCAGATACTAAATTTAAAATGAAATGCAAGCAATATTTCTGGTTAAAGTCTAATTCCTCCCTACTTTCTCTACCTATATTTATAAAAGCATATACAAGCAATGTATGAAAACAAGAGTCTTACCTCTTCCTTCCAGCCAGAACTATTTCCTCCCAGGTATGTCCTTTCTAAAAGCCTCAGGACTCCCCACCCTGCCGTTCACCCTGAGCAAAGCAGAAGGAATGGCATGCCCTATGCTGCCTAATTAAGAGCAGGTGGGTAACTACCAAGCTATGGCCATCCTTAAGGGCCCCATTTCTCCTAACACTTGACTCAGCTCACAAGACGGGCTAGAAATCCATGGTGTGCAGAAATCACTTCTTTTCCAGCCTTGGTTGTTTGCATTGTTGTCCCTGTCACAGCTACAAAAGTACCCAAAACCAACAATTCACTAGAGAATGTTGAATCCTGCAGGGACACTTAGTAACTGATACTGGAAATGGAATAACAATCTACAGCTGCAGGTGGAGTTTGCAGTCATTTCACCTGGGGCTTCCCACCCTGGCACTGGACACCTTTTCCTATAAAGTAATAGAACAGTTCCCTTTCCTCTCAGCCTCTCTGGGCTGAGCTCTCCTTTCCAGCAGCCAAGTAACTGTCCCAGCTGCACCTCAGCCTCTATCTGCCACACCACCTCCCAGTTACCACTTCTCAATTCACCATTTCTCTTCTGTTTCACATCATCCTTCTCACCTCCTCCAGGTGAGGCTCAAAAAAGCCTCAGGGGGCTTTTTTGAAACCTCTTAAAAAAACAAAAAAGAGAAAGGAGTCCTAGAGGAACATTACTAGAGGAATGTGTCTTGAACATTTAACTTTCTCACCTACATTATATATTGAATTTGGCTACATTATTTACCTTTGCATACACACACAATAGATGATGAAAGAAGTTTCCACCTAGAATGATACTGCAACCCACTGCACCACAAGACCAGCAAAAAGCTCTGATGTATTACAAAGCCAGTGAATTTTCCAAGTATCATATATATGGCATGTGCTTAAAAATACAGCTATCTGTCAAGGTCAACTGCACCTGCACTGCTCAGCAATTTGCAA